GGTTCTTCCCTTAAGTTGGGTCTGTTGTGAACTCGTGATTCTTCTCTAGTCTGTGCAGACAGGCAGAAAACTCAGCTCACACCTGAGTACCTCTGTGTGTGGTTCTCTGCCTGTTTTACTCAATTTTGTTAAATGAAGCTTTTGTTCAAGCTGTTCAGCAGCAGTTGTGTGAGAGGAGTGTTTCCAGGAAGGGTTTTACAGCCATGAACAGGTAAAACTGGAACAGAGGAAGTTCAATCTGGTCAGAAGGAGAAACTTCTTTGGTGTGAGGGTGGCCGAGCCTGGAGCAGCTGCCCAGAGAGGCTGTGGAGTCTCCTGCTCTGGAGAGATCCCAAACCTGCCTGGCTGTGACCCTGGGCACCCTGCTGGGGGTGAGCTGCTGGAGCAGGGGGTTGGAGGAGATGATCCCCAGAGGTCCCTCCCAACCCCTCCATGCTGGGATTCTGTAAATGCTTTCTCTTGGCTGGGAAGGGTCTCCAAGGAAATGGTTTTGTGCCTGGAACCCTTCAACCAGCTGGTTGGGACCCCAGGCAAGTGGAGCAAAGGCTCCCAGCAGCAGCTTGCTGGCCAACTCTGGCACCCTCTGCAGGGACGTGGCTGTGCCACTGCCACCTCTGCTGTCCCCACCTGCTCCTGAGCTGCCCTGCTAGTTCCCCTGCAAGTCTGGGCTGTGTTCTTCTGCCCTCTGCTTGCCCTTTCTCTCTGAATGTCTCCAGTGCTTTTCCTGGAAGAGGGTTAGTCTCTCCTCAGCACTCCTTCCAGCAGCTGGGGTGACCAAGTGCCTGTCACACACCGTGCCTGTCACACCCAGTATTGCTTCTGCTTCTCTCAGGCCCCCTGAATCCCTTGGGGAAAGGCTGTTTCTGGAGGATTCGGGTCCCCCCAGGGCACTCGCTGGGTGCACAGCACAGGAGCTCCTCCCCTGCCCCAAACTCCTCCTCTGAAAGGGCTGCTGCAGGATCACGGCAGCTCCTGGAAGGACTTGAAACCTCTGTGTTTATAAGGCTGCTGTAGTCGCTCTGCCTCTGCTCTCAGTGCTGTGCTCAGCACCAATCCTGCCTCCAGATGGCTGCGTGGATCACGGGGCTCCTTCCTCGCAGCCGTGGCTGGGATGAAGCCACAGGATTCTTATTTTTTTGTCAGCCAAAGGTTGTGTTTGCTGGAGATGTGGGGTTTTTTTGCCCTGAGCATCAGTGTTGAGTGTTCTGCTGAGTGATCTGGCAGAGAGTTGCTGCCCGAGAGGAGATCTTCGCAGCACAAGAGCCCTGGATCCAGCTGGTGCCTGGAGACGTGTCCTTTTCTCACAGGGGCTTCCTTTTGGGAGCCTGACTTGGCACCTTTCTCTTCCTGAAGATGTTGTTTGATTTTATTGGGCTGGGTTTTGGCAGGAGGCTCTCCAGAGCCTCGCCCAGGGTGCAGGTGCTCGCTGTGCCATGGGAGTGCTGCTCTTTAGTACAGCCTTCAGTGGGGTCCTGCTCCCCAGCTGGGGGGTTCTGTGGGTTGGGGTTAAGGAGGAGCAGGAACTCTGCAGGCAATGGCTGTGCTCTTTGAGCTAAAGAAATCTTTTGGGTTTTGAGCTAAAGAAACTCATCTTCCCCATCCACACCCTGACGAGAGTGGCTTAGAAGTCAGAAAGTGGATGGATTGACCCTAAATCTCTGCAGCCGGGTCGGTAGCAGGAGCAGTGGCTTCTCCTCTGAGTGAATGGTTGTGCTAAATACCCAGGGCCTGTTTCCCTCGTTGGAGTTTTGATGATTTGCTGCTCTTTCCATATCAGCCCTGGCAGCCTGGGCTGTGTCCCAGCCAGTCTGAGCTGTCGTACAGGAGCCTGGAGCCAGGGGGGGGTCGGGCTCTGCTCCCAAGGAACAAGCAACAGGACAAAAGGAAATGGCCTCAAGTTGCACCAATGGAGGTTGAGGTTGGACCTGAGGAACAATTTCTTGCCCTGGAGGGTTGCCCAGGGCTGTGCCAGGCTGCCCAGGGCAGTGGTGGAGTCCCCACCCCTGGAGGGGTTTCCAAGCCGTGGAGATGTGGTGTGAGGGACACGGGGCAGTGGGGACCTGGCAGGGCTGGGGTTGGACTCGAGGATCTGAAAAGTCTCTTCCAACCCAAATGATCCTATGGTTCACTTTAAAAAGCTAAACCAAGAAACCAAGAGCTGCTGTTAGAGAAAACAAAAGAGCAGGGGACACTTCTAGCCTGCAGAAACACTGTCAAGGCTTTTGAAGGCACTGGGCAGGGCTGGCAGAGGAGCTCCGGCGGGTGGCAGCACCGAAACGGCTTCTCCAGGTGACTCCGAGTCACCTCCAGGGGTGTGGAAAGACAAAGGGACCTTCCCCACCTGCCAAGCTCCAGCACAGCCCTCCCCACTCTGCTGGGCAGGGAAACACCTGCTGGGAGTCAAGCCCAGGCTGTGTTTGTGGGGTTTGGTTCCCAGCAGTGCTCGTGGTGCTCAGCACTTCCCTGCAGGGGTCACAAGAAGACCACGGGCTGTGGTCTCCAGGACCTCAGGATGAGCTGGGGCTTTGTATTCTTTAAGCTGCTTCTGCAGCTGCTTGGGCCAGAGCTGTCCTGCCCTGGAATGGTTTGTTCCAGGGGAAACTGTCTTCTGGAAGCCAAAGGGTGCCTTGAGTCACCTTGTCCAGGGGTAAGTTGGTGGCAGCTGGGTGGTTGCAGAGGACAAGGCCGTCAGGAGAAACACCTCCTGTTCCGCTGGCTGGAAGGGTTGAAGTCCAGGGGTAGTTCTGGCATCAACCACCACCCACAAACAAACACAGCCCAGGGCATTGACCTGCTGAGGGGTTCAGAGCTGCACTTACAGCCCTGTCCTCCCAGCACTGTTGGCCTCTTCCCTTCCCCTGCCTGGGAGGCAAGATGCACGTCCTCACCCCAAAACATCTCCCCCAGCTTCCTCTGGGGCCTTGGCTCTCGTCTTCTCTCAGCTGCTACTCAACCTGCCTCCTCCAAGGGACACCAACCAGCCTGAACTGGACAACTCAGGAACTCCCCAGTTGGCATTACCCCGAGCACACGAGCCACGACCCTGCTGGGGCTGAGGACAAGAACAGCCCCGAGATTTTGGGAGCCCCACACTTAGAAGGGGCAGATGTGTAGCCACAAACGGGTGGCAGCTGCTGCTGGGCTGCCAGCCATGGGGTCAGGGTGGATTTGGGGTTTCTGGTTAGCTGGGGAAGGGTCTAGAGCCCAAGTGTGGGGAGGAGCAGCTGAGGGAGCTGGGGGTGCTGCGCCTGGAGCAAAGGAGGCTCAGGGGAGACCTTCTGGCTCTGCACAGCTCCTGACAGGAGCCTGGAGCCAGGGGGGGGTCGGGCTCTGCTCCCAAGGA